ACCACATTGCTGCCTCTGCTCTGTCACGAGGAGCCCTACAAGCAGTCCAGCCTGGCTTCCGGGCATGCCCCTGGGTTCAGGGGCAAAAGACTTTGCCTTGGCTTCAGCACATGTCTCTGGGGACAGAGGCAAGGCACTATGGCACTTCACGCTTTCAGCTTCTCCTAATCTTTTTCCACCTCAATAGAACTAATCCTAATAGCACCCTCTTATAGGATTGTTATGACAATGTAATGAGATCATCTAAGTGAAAACTATTCAAAAATAGAAAGTAATAGTCTTGAATTTTAAATTCTTCCTATTTTAGTTTCTTCATCTGTTAAATGTAGTTTTTAAAAAACTGAAAAACAAACATACTCGTGAGTCTTTTGAGGGATTGCAAGAGGAAAAAAAATGCAATCCAGGAGGGGCGCGGTGCTCACGCCTGTAATCCCAGGACTTTGGGAAGCCAAGATGAGTGGATCACCTGAGATCAGGAGTTCAAGACCATCCTGGCCAACATGGTGAAACCCCATCTCTACTAAAAATACAAAAATTAGCCAGGCGTGGTGGCATGTGCCTGTAGTCCCAGCTACTCGGGGGCTGAGGCAGGAGAATCACATGAAGCGAGGAGGCAGAGGTTGCAGTGAGCCCAGATTGGGCCATTGCACTCCACCCTGGGAGTCAGAGCAAGACTCTGTTTCAAGAAAAAAAAAAAAAAAAAGGCAATTTATAGTCATGGAAATTATTTCATTTTAACTTTATTAACAGTTTTGGCACTGAAATCCTCTATAAAGTGACTATATGGTTAGCCCTCTTATAGGTCTTATGCCTATTAATGATCTTGTAAATCTGCAGAAAATGGGGCCACCCATTTACTATAATGTCTCATTGAGAAGATATAGTTGGTTTTACTCTTAACACTGCACCACTGTTTCAGTTTAGGTTCCTGGTAATTACATAAGTCCTAGCAGTAAGAAGCCTCTTCTGATTCACAGTGACCCTACCCCATAAGCAAGATCTGTCAGTCTATTCTATAGTTCACATGTATTGTATTGTGCACAATTGCTGACCCTCATGTAGTTCACAAGTAGAAAGCATGGCCCGGCCCTGTAGGAGCTATACTCCAGGCAGCAGGCATTGATCTTATAGATACAAACAGATACATATTTCAGCCAATCTCCTACATATGTTCCAAACATCATGTCTTCCCTAACATAAAGAACTAGACATATTGGGGCTTTAAATAAGGTCTAATTTCCTGAAAGCACAGCCAGCATGTCAGGGGGAAAAAACAAAAACAAAAAAACTTCAAGAGTGGAAATGCTATTTAAAAAATCTGGGAGTTTTTCTATCTTTAAGGCAGTAGATGAATGGGTGCCTACAGATAATTATACCAGACTGGAAGTAAAAATCAGCCAAATAACCGTACGACTAAGAGCAGATCTCGCCAAAGCCTCAGCATTATCATAATGCAGGTGTTACTGCACCCCATCTTCCTTCCTCAAGGGGTGCCTTTGCTGAGCCCTGATGCTATGAAAGGGCTGAGTCTTTCTCTATTCAATCTCTGCGCCTCTAGTTGGAGGATTCCAGGGGATTCCGTGTCAGAGCCCACACCAGAGGCTGGAAAGAAAGAGGTTGGACACGCATTTGCCCCTTGCCCTGGACACCCTGATGCTGGGGAGCTGGCACCATCTGGGAGGAGAATCACAGTGTCAGAGGACAGCAGAGACCTTCTGCATCCTGTCACCTGCCCTCATGCCGCATAAAGAGAAAGCTGCCAGGCACAGGCCTCCCAGGAAGGGATTGATTCCAACATATCTCTGTCATTTGTCCCATATCTGCTTTTTAAGTACACAGACTAAGCCAGACCCTCATGACTAAGTATGTACACTGGTAAACAAAAAGACTTCCCAGGTCCCAGAGCAAAGATGAGGATGAATCCTTCCATTTGGGTTTAAGTTTCTCACCAAAAGAGATCCAGGCCTCCTGTTTCCTCACTAGTGGATCTTAAGGGCATCTCTGCCTTGACAACCCTAACACTAATATCTAACACTCAAAACATTCCTTTTTCTCAGCATAATGTTACTGGTAAAATAAATTTTTTATATATTAGCCCTGCCCTTCTTACATGGGGGTGCAGTGGGGTTCCTCCGGCTAGTTTGAGGCCACTAGCCTCAAACACTTTGTGTTCACTCTCTGAATAACCCAAGGAAATGGCCACTACAAATTCTTTGGATTCAGCTTCTGCCTGACAGAGGGAGGTAAGAGTAGTGGTCGAGGTGCGGGAGTTTCACTTTCTCAATGCCCGAACCTCAGTTAGCACTTTAGAGGACAGAGAGAAGATTCTGAAATTTTCTGTGTAGGAATTCAAAATGATTACTTGACTAAATTTGCATTTCTGAGACAAGCATTTGTAATTACCCCTAAATAAATTATAAATTTCATTCTGTCACAGAGTCTGTATCAATGAGATTTTGACGGATTTCTATTTTGTGGGTGGAGACGGGGAAGATGCCTTGAGGCTGAGGGACTTGCAGGAGGTGACTCTGCTCACGCAGACTCTTGACCTTTCACCAAGGATGGCTCGGGCCTGCCGGGTTAACAGGCTCCTAAACCTGCCTGGAGCAGTACGAAAACAAACATCAACATTCTCTGCACAGGCTGAAGCTCTGAAATGTTCCAGCAACCCACATTACAGAATGCAATTTCAATTCCAATTAACCATATCACTAAATCATTCTAAAGTCACCTGGGGCAGTGTATTGCAAATTGACAGCCACTGCCCACTCAGTTTAACAGGCAATGACCAGTGTTTTCTAAAAATAAGAAAAAGAATATAATAGAAAACATTAGAGTACTTCGCACATTATGAAGTATTGTTTTATGAAATACTTAGTTCAGGCAGGTAAGTAGGTGATGCATCATTACTGTGGGCTGGATCATAATATGCAATGCATTTTTACTATGCTCTTGGTCGAGTAGACAAACAATGGCTAAAGTGTGCTCTCATCATTTAGTCCTCCCTTTCTTTCTTTCTTTCTTATTTTTTTTCAATGGGTCTTTACAGCAAAAACTGGAAAGCCTGCTAGACAAATTCTGCAAGAGTTGTTAACACTTTTTTTTTTAACTCTTCTTTTTCAGTGCTACCAAATAAACAGTGTGCTTCCTTATCATTCCCTTGCATTCATATTCCCCAGAGATACCAAATAGCCTCTGCATACCCATCAGGGTTTTACCTGCCTTGAAGGAGTGATTGCAAGACATATATTACTTTTTAGGATGGGAACAGCATGGGTGAAATGAGAGTCACTCATGAAAATTCCACGCATTTTGCAGAACTTAACAAACTGATCACACACACCTTTTCTTTTTCTGGTCAAGGTCATAAGTTGTTTTCAGGATTTGGTCTGAGATTCAGCAGAGTCCCATGCATCGTGACACCTTCTATTGCTAGGCTTCTAAAACCCTGTGTATTTGCACAGGTCCTCTGTGGACAGTGAGCTGGACTGACCTCACAACCCTCCAGAATGTTCAGTGGCTGAGAATGACCCACTCCCAGCAAATTTCTGCAGCCAAGGGGTTAATCCTCCCTGAGCTGAAGCCTGACATGGTGTGAACCACAACCTCCCCCTCACAGCTGTTTTAGCATTTCATGTGCCTGACAAGAAGCATTTATGTCTGACCTAAACCTCACCTGTTGCAACGTGACTCCATTCATTCACTCTGTCACCAGAGTGACGGTCACCAGATATTTGTGGAGCCCCTGCAATGGGCTTGTCATTGCACGAGGTGCTGCAGAGCTCACAGTTCCGCCACAGAGACAACACACTCATAAATCACAATGCCAGGCCACATGTGCGGCAAAGGCCATGAGGCTCTAGGTGTGCAGAGAGGGGACAAAGAGGGTTGGCCTTAGAAGGTCTGGTGTGGCTCACAGAAAGGCTGGTTATGACTTGCAGTCATGTAAGTGCAGATGAAGAATAGTTGATATCTTCCTCCTATGATTAATTCTCCCCAAACCTCTCTTTTGACTCTTGATGAAACATTCTCAATGAATTTTTCTTTTTATATCCAACTGTTAGTCCTTCCAGCAATTTTATCGTCAAAGTCTGTTAATTCTCTATCTCTTCTTGCTGTCGGGTGAATGTTGTGTCGTTTGTTAAAATCCTAAACCCCAAGTACAATGGTATGAGGAGGTGGGGCCTTAAAGAGGTGATCAGGTCATGAAGGTGGAGCCCTCACAAGTTCATTTAGTGCCATTATAAAAAGACCCCCAAGAGACCCTCGCCTCTTCTCCCATGTGAGGATACAGAAAAAAAGACAGTGCCGATGAACCAGGAAGGAGGGTCCTCACCAGACACTGAATCTGCCAGCACTTTGATCTTGAACTTCCCAGCCTCAGAACTGGGAAAAATAAATTTCTATTGTTTATGAGTTATCCAGGTTATGGTGTTTTGTTATAGCAGCCCAAATGGACCAGGACTCTCCCTGTATAATGTAAGTTCTATGAAAGTAAGGACTTTGTCTATTTTGTTCCTGGCTCTACCTTCAGCATCTAGTACAGTGCCTGGCAATAAATATTTGTTCAACAAATGTATGAGCCCACTTTCTATGGGCTTCATTAGGCTGAGATGGGGATGGGGGCTAATGTTTAAAATGGGTCCCTATTACAAATAATGAAACCAACATCTCAAGCTCTCCTTCCTACCCATTGTTGTAGGACCTCCATCCCCTCCAGGTCTCTCCTGCTTGTTTCTGAGCATTCCTGGAGATGTTTTCAGTGTGCACAGAACAAGTGCTGAAGATGTGGCTACCACACTGGAAATCTCAACAAGCTGAGGAGGTTCTGTGTTCTCTAAAGCCCTCTGTGCATCACATGGCTGTAAGCCATGAAGAAAGGGAAAGAACACCTCCTTCTCGCCTTGTATAACCTCTTCTCACACAGGCACCAAAGCACTATGACGCTGTGCTTTGTAGTTGGAGGTTTTGTATTGAAAATACTTCCCATATTTACTTACAGGTCTTATTTCCTCTGGATCCAGACATGAGTACAGGAAGAGCTCATCTGAGGACAAGGAGCAGTATTCAGACTCTCTCCTTCCTCCCTGCTGGTCATCAAGACATTCAGATTAGCTGAACTTAATAGGCCAGCTCTTCCTTAGGGTGAGGGACTCCCATGAGGCTATTCAGCGCCCTCTGCAAAGGAGTCTACTCTCTTAGCCCACTAACCATTACCAGGCTGTCTAGATTCCAGCAGTGACCATGTTCAACCTTGAGCTTGAGAGCCACTACAAAATCCTTTCTTATAAATAGAGCTTTGGATTGGCATAGAAATTTGGCATGTACCTGACCAAGCCTGTGTATGTATCATTGGTATTTTATGTCATATTCTAGAGCTTGCACGTGTCCAGGAAGTCTAGTGAATTCGACCATGAATCCAGACATGGCCAGTGGCTACATCCTGTGGGAAGACACTGTGCTTCTCTCTGACCCATGAACACTCTGCTAGTCAAGCTCTCTGTCACAAAGACAACTTGAAGAGACAGTGTGGACCTCAGAGAAGATACCATCATCACTCTTACCAATAGAACTGTAGTGAATAGGACCCCTATTATTCCTTAAATCAAAAGGACAGCTCATTCAACAGTGTCTTCATGGCACGCCAGCAATTTGCATAGGATGTTCATAATCGCACTTTGATTATCTAGTGCTTTGTGGATGTGTTGTGTATTATAGAAATCCATTTGCAACATGAAGGCAAATTTTCTCTCTTGTTTGTTCGTTTGTTTATCTGAAAATCAACAAATGGTTATAGAATGCCTACTATGCGCCAGGGACTTCTGGTCACAGCCTCAAACAAAAGAGATTTTTCTGTATTCTATTCTTCTGTACCTTACCATAAGTAAGAGCATTACATAGGTAAGAAAACAGTTAAATAATAAGATAATTTCACAGAATCATAACTTTGGGCCTGGTGTGGTGGCTCATGCTTGTAATCCCAGCACTTTGGGAGACCAAAATGGGAGGATCACTTGAGCCCAGGAGTTCAAGACAAGCCCTAGCAACATAGTGAGACCACTCCCCCTAGCCCCGAAAAAAATGGAAAAATTAGCCAAGAATGGTGGTGCACACCTGTAGCCCCACTTACTCTGGAGGCTGAGGTGGGAGGATTGCTTGAGCCTGGGAGGTAAAGGTTATGAGCCCAGGAGGTGAAGATGAAGGTTATTGCTTGAGCCCTGGTGGTGAAGCTAAGATGGTGCCACTGCACTCCAGTCTGGGCAACAGAGCAAGACCCTGTCTCAAAAAAAATAAAATAAAATAAAAGCTAAATTTTATGAAAAAATTATACAAAATAAATTCTATGAAAAGAATTATGCAGAGCAGTCTGACACAAAAGGTGGCTGGGATTTGCTGGCCTATGTCATTCACATCCCCTTGTCCCTTGCAGTTTCTAGAGTACATGCCAGAAGGTGAGATGCTTGTTTCCCCATCCTCCCTTACTGCTAAGGGAGTAGCAACCTGACACAAATCCATGGCTCCAAACAAAATACCCCGAGGAACACTTTCCTGCCCAATAAAATGCAGAGCCAGAGCCACATAAGAAAAGACTTTGATCCTTTAAACTCTCCCTTCTCCTTGTTTGAAACAAAGACATAATGCCCAGAGGCACAGCAGCTATCTTGCAATCATGGAGTGATCATCACATGGAAGAATGTCATGATGTTAATGACTACCGCAGAGTAGGAAGCAAGAAGGAGCCTGCATCCCTGCTGTCACCATTGAGCCCTGCAGAGCCTTCACCTAACTACCCTGGACATCTTCATCTGTGTGAGACAAATAAAGCTCCATCTATTTAGGCCTTTGTTAAGTTTGTTCTTATTTGGAGCCAAACACTTTACTAACTACTAGAGAGACGTACAGCTGTGGGTCAGAAGCCAATTTAGGCCAGGCATGGTGCCTCACGCCTGTAATCCCAGCACTTTGGGGGTCCGAGGTGGGCAGATCATGAAGTCAGGAGTTCGAGACCAGCCTGGCCAACATAGTGAAACCCCACCTCTACTAAAAATACAAAAATTAGCTGGGCATGGTGACACGCGCCTGTAATCCCAGCTACTCAGGAGGCTGAGGCAGAAGAAGAGCTTGAACCTGGGAGGCGGAGGTTGCAGTGAGCCGAGACCACGCCATTGCACTCCAGCCTGGGTGACAGAGCGAGCCTCTATCTCAAGAAAAAAAAGCTAAAGCTAGTTTAACCATGTGGTTATGGAAGTCTTCTCTGAGGAGATGACATTTTAGTTGAGACCTAAATGATAAAAAGGAGCCAGCCATGTAAAGATCTGGGGAAAAGAATTCCAGGCAGAAAGAATAGCAAGTGCAAAGGCCCTTAGACAGAACTAGGTCAGCCATGTTTAAGGAACAGAGAAGATGTGCCTGAAGCACCATGAATGAGGGGGATTTCAACCATGGTGGAGGCCCCAGAGGGTGGGGGCTAGACCTTGGGTAACCCTCTACACCTACCCAAAACTCCGAATTTTATTTTAATACCAAGGAGCAGATTTGAGATAGATGGATTTGAGATATGTTTTGGCAGTAAACCCTTCAACAGGACACATTGATGGAGCAAATGTAGAATAAGGGAAATACAGGTGACTCCTAGATCTTTGTTCTGAACAGCTATGTGGAAGATGGAGCCATTGCATGAGTGGGGAAGAATGTAGGAGGTCCGAGTTGGGAAAAGGGAGGGGATGCTGAACCAATTGTATTTTATGTGACATTTGAGATGCCCATTACAATTGCAAGTGGCAGTGTCATATAGGAAGCTGGATACATGAATCTGAAGCTCCAGGGAGAAATGAGGGCTAGAGACAAACATTTGGAACTATCTACATACTGATGCCATTTAAGTCATGGGTCTGGATGTGATTTCCTGGCCGGACAATATAGAGAAAGAAGTTGAGGCCAGGTGCAGTGGCTCACGCCTATAATCCCAGCACTTTGGGAGGCTGAGTGGGGAGGACTGCTTGAAGCCAGGAGCTGGAGACCAGCCTGGGCAACACAGTGAGATGCTATCTCTACAAAAAAATAAAAATAATTAGCTGGGCGTGGTGGTGCATACTGTGGTCCCAGCTACTCCGGAAAGTGAGACTGGAGGAGAGCTTGAGCCCAGGAGTTCAAGGCTGCAATGAGCCATGATCATACCACTACCTTTCAGCCCAGGAGACAGAGCAAGAACCTGTCTCAAAACAAACAAACAAAAAAAAAGTTGAGGCCTGTGATACTTCAACATTTAGACTTAGAATGGAGGTGACAGAACCAGCAAAGGGGACAAAGAAGGGGCATCCAGAGAAGTGAAACAAAATCAGGGAGCTTTGAGAAGCTTTAACAAAGAGGGAGTGATTGGCTCTGTTGAATGATGCTACAAGGTTCAAAAAAAATGAAACAGGAAAGAGCTGTTGGATTGAACTTGTTGGGTGTGTTTGGTTATCTTGCTAAGAGCAGTTTCAGAAGAGAGGAGAAGCAGAAGTCTCATTTTTGTGGGATCAAGACCAAATGGGAGATGAGGAAAGGAAGTACAGACATCTCTTCAGTACAGAGTAATTTCGCTGTGAAGGGAAGCAAGAAAAATGGGACAGCAGCTGCAGGGTGTTTGGGTTAATAGAGGATTCGGGAAGAGTTTTTAGTGAGAGGACAGATCCCACAGCACTTGTCTGCACAGTAATATAAGTTGTGCAGAGTGAAGCGGAGGGTTTGATATTTATAGAGCTCCTACTGCATATTAGACACTTTACAAATTCGCATTAATTCCTCTCAACAAGCCTGAGAGGTGGGAATTTTTATCCTCTTTATAGAAATGAAGGAGGCAATATAATATATTGGTTAGTACTTCAGGTTTGAGTACAACAAAGTCAGAGCTCACCGCTTGTTAATTGTGTGAGCTTGACCAGTTACTTAACTCTCTTTGCCTCACTTTCTTCATCTGAAAACTGGGAATAAAAACAGTACTTACCTCACATGATTGTTGTGAGGATTAAATAAAATAATCCATCTAAAACAGGTAGCACAAGGCTTCACATATAGTAATTGCTCAATAAATATTAGTTCTTTTTAGAGATGAGGAAAGAGAACCTCAGAGATTATGTCCATTTATTTAACAAATATGTTGAGCTTCTACTTTTCGCTAAGTACTGTGTGAGGCCAGAGAGTACAGCAATGAAAAAATAAATAACCTTGTCTTCATAGAACTTAGAATCCATAATAATCATGGTCATGGTAATAACAATAAGAGTAAAACCAACAATACTAACATGTACTGACTATGTGCCAGAACACAAAGGTTTAATCGTTTTGAGCAACAAAAGCAGAATCTGTGTTGCTCCATTTTGTCTTTTTATTATGTCATCCTTCCCAGGGGTATCATTTTGCAAGCAGAAGGAAACCCAAGTCTAACGAAATAATCCTCTTGTATGAGGATGTGTGATTGAAAGGAAAACATTAGAGTTGATGAATAACCTCTCTTGCTTTCTCCACTATTTCCCCAAGATCGTATGGGAAACAGATTTTAGGGATTAGTTTTCTCTACTTCCTGACTTGTTTCCCCTTCCCTGGTTTCTTCCCAGGTTAATTAATTAAGGACACAAATGTGGCTGGCACCATGTTACATACTGTGTGCTATCAAAAATAAGTGTTGTGGGCTGAACTGTGACACCACCCCCAGCAAATTCATCTGCTAAAGCCCTAACCTCCTAGTACCTCAGAATGTGACTGTATTTGGGAAAAAAGAGGTCTGTTTTTTTTTGTTTTTTGTTTTTGTTTTTGTTTTTTGTTTTATTCAGAGTCTTGCTCTGTTGCCCAAGCTGGAGTACAGCAGCGCAATCTTGGCTTATTACAACCTTCGCCTCCCGGGTTCAAGCGATTCTCCTGCCTCACTCTCCTGAGTAGCTGGGACTACAGGCATGTGCCACCATGCCCAGATAATTTTTGTGTTTTCAGTAGAGATGAGGTTTCACCATGCTGGCCAGGCTGTTCTTGAACTCCTAACCTCGTGATCTGCCCAGGTCAGCCTCCCAAAGTGCTGAGATTACAGGCATAAGCCACCGAGCCTGGCCAA